TTTGTTTGTTAGACTGTAGAGAGAAGGTGTGAAATCAGAATGGGACTTGACTTGGGTTTGGGTTTGGGATTTTATCATTTATTCAATGCGAACGACTTACGCATACCCAAGATTTATCAAAATAATAAGTTGTATCTAAAAGATTTTGAAACAACAAATATATCTTTCATCATGTTTTGTTAGTGATTTTCGTTTGATAATAGTGAAAGACTAAATACCCTTAAAAGTTTAATATTTTAGTTTTTTATAAATTTAAAAATTTCTAAAAATCTCCTAGGTTTGCTAATTTGACTAAATACCCCAATATATAAAATTTTTATGAAATATAAAAACACACCCCGCCACCTGCATGCCAGATCCCAGCAACCACTGTCGGATCTGGTTGGAAAATTGGATTAGACATAGACCCATCGGATCTATGTCGTAACTGTAGATCTGTCATTTTTCCGGCAAGATTCGTGGCTGATCTGGCCGAAATGCCAGATCTACGGCCAGATCTGGCCAAAAAATTACGTTACACACAGGCCCGTCAGTCTGTGTCATAACACGTTTGATCTGGCTTTTCGCCGGTCAGATCCGTGGAGGATTGGCCGGAAAAGGCCAGATTACGGCCAGATCTGGTCGTCGAGCCGAAAAAGGCCAGATCGACGCGTTACGACACAGATCCGATGGGTCTATGCGTAACACAATTTTTTGGCCAAATTCCGGCGATGGTGGCCGAAATTTGGCACTGTCGTGTCGGGGGTGTTTTTGTTATTTTATAAAAATTTTTATATATGGGGTATTTAGTCAAATTAGCAAACCTAGGGGGTTTTTTAGAAATTTTTAATTTATAAAAAGCTAATATTAAACTTTCAAGGGTATTTAGTCTTTTCACTATTATCAAACGAAAATCATTAACCGAACATGATAGAAGGTACCTATTTATCGTTTCAAAATCTTTTAGTACCAACTTATCTTTCGGTAAACTCTGGTATGTGTAAGTCGTTCTGCCTTTATTTAATAATGTTTTTGGGTATTAAAAAGTTAGGGTTTGGTTGATCTATTCGTCTAGGTACGTTATATATAAATAAGATATTTTTTAAGGGATGTCCTAATGCATGTCCTTCTTTTGTTGGTTGAATTATGTCACCATATAAGTTTAGCCTAATGCATTGTTTTGGTCACGGATCTTTTATAGTTTTATTTTCTTACTATTATTTTTTATTCAACTATAATCAAGTATTTTCTAATATAGAAAATATTATAGATATTAAAGGGTATCAAATACAATAACTAGGGAAGCTATAAATTATTTAATTAAGATATTGAGTTTATGTATTGAGGATTTGGTATAACAGAGCATAACATAAACATAAACAACGCTCAAAATCATTCAATTTGTTTAAGTGATTAATCTAATCTAAATACATAATTTTGATGATTAATTGTATTTATGTTGAAAGGAATCTATTTGGTTTGATTGATAGTTTGTTATTATATAATTGTATAGCTAAATAAATTATCTAATTTAAAGCAATCTTAGTAAGATAATTGATCATAATTATACCACAGCTATAATTATATATACATGGAATAATTCTATAAATAAGATAATGAAATATAAACTTAGTATCTCAAGGAGTTGGTCTAGCTGTTAAGGAGATTCGTTTTGTTTATTGAGTTTTTGGGGTCATCATCACATTGTGATTTATTTGGTCTTTTGGGCTTGTAAATTTTTATGGACCACGAAAATTAATTGAAATCATGCAAGTTAGTCCGAATATCCGATTACAAAAAAAAGGTGTGCACAAGTTGTTCCGAACACTCCGATTACCAAAATGTGTGTTCCAGACATTTCGGTTACCAAAAATATGCATAGAGTTGATTCAAACATCCTATTAGCAATATATATATTATATATTATTATATATATATTATAAATAAACTTAGTATAATATTCATATTATAACAGGCGAATTAAATAAAAAAAAAATAAACTGTATTCAAAATCATGGTGATGCGTGAGTTGAAGGGTATTTGTTTTTTATATATGGACATTAATTGAGGCATGAGTGACTCATTTTTTTTAGATGATTGGCAGATTGAAGGTCATTGTTGCAGGATACATATATAAACGTATTTGAAATATACCTAAACATATGATTAAATATCATATTAATTACTGCAAATTAACAACTGTCGCAATTAGCAAATACAACCGGGAAGCTAGCTGTCTTTTCTAATCCTCTTTGTATTTAATTCCTATTCATACTCTTTTCAATATAAAATAGAACTTTATCTTAAAAATGTTCTTTAAAAAGCCTTACACACATTTTCGGAATATTAAAATCAATTTTTGTTTAAATAACGTTTTGTGATGTTCCAAATGGGGTCACCCATATAGTGTTTTATTCCTTTTTTTTTTTTTTTTTTTTAATAATCAGAGGTGTCTAGATCAGTTTACGCGTGTTTCAACTGATCTGTCGAGACCCTAAACTACTTTCGGGTAAAAGTTTCGATGGCTACCCCTAATAACAACAAAGAAAGAACTAAATTTATGACCTCATGAATAATACATCTAAGAATCTCTATTGAATCATTTATGGTAAGTTTTTTCTTGTTTTTATTGCATAATTTTTCTTTACTTTGTTTTTAAATTTTTGCAATAAAATGAAAACAATAGGCAATAATTTAACAACAGAGTGGTGCTACGACCATCCTCTGTTGGAAATCAACCATAAACAAACCTTTTCAAAAAGTGTAGATAAAGTGAGAAGATAAAAGTTGATAATTTTTCACAACTTCATGCCCCACTACTACTGTCTCCACACTTGATACTTTAGCTTCAACCACAAGGTTTGAATTGAGGTTCTCTTTTTCTTAATCTCATTATCACGGCTTGTTGTACACACACAAAACTACAACCACCTCCACATTCATTCATTAATCATTATTCTTTTTCCATACACCATAATACTATATATTTGTACATTTTCACTATCGTTTTCTTAATTTCGACATATTATTGTTTTTGTATGCATGTGTTTGTTCTATGATTAATTGCATTCTTAATGTATAAATAACCAAGATTTAATAAAACTTGGCCCGGGGTACTCGGCAAAGTGTTGGGTCTCGGGTTGAACGGTTTGGTCGGGAAGTCAAACCACGTCATTACATGTCTAAGGTTTGAATTCAGCAAACACAGCCCTCAAAATTACACATCAACTATATAGTTTTAAAATCCAACAAACACTACCCAAATGCAACCACTGTGTTTGACCCCTGACCAAATAGGGTTTGTTTTGGCAAAAACCACTTCCCATTACCACAAAAACACTCTCCTTAGCCTTTTGACCAAAACCCATCTCACCCACCCACGTTGCTCGTTAATCGTCGACAAACACCCGTTGTTACTGCCACGCGATTTTTATCCAGTCGTTTCACTCATCGGAAATCACTCTATCGCCACTTTTCGACTTAATGGGCCCTTCTTTTTCAAAAGCTCCAACATTCAACCACCAATTGCTCGCCAATTGCCATCATAAATCTAGAGTTTGCTTTAATAGAGTTGAACAGTTGACATTGTGAACCTGAGGTCCTCGTTAACCGATCGGGGCGGGTTTTAAATCTAGAATAAACTTTTTTTTACGCCTTCAATATTTTATTTTTCTCAAACAAATAACTTAATAATAAGATAATTCTAGATTGTGGAAAAAACTCAAATTATGAGTCACTATTATATGTCATCCATGATTTTCAAACTCAATTACGCGTGCTAATCAACATAAATACTGGGCTTAAATGATTGATATGCAATTACAATTTTGCCCATGACACGTTTAACTTGAAGAATGAATGGACAGCACAAAACCCAAACTTTATACAACAACTAGGGTTTGAATTTATAGAAACTTATGATTCTTTTTCTGTCAAAAATGAAAAAAAAAAAAAAAAAAGATCAACTTTAAGTTTTAAATATTATCTGGATTTTTCTAAGAATTTACAAAAGTTTGAGCGATAATCTAAAGGAAATTTATTAGAAAAAAAAAAAAAAAGGACCTTTTAAGTTTTAAAAGATATTTTCAACATTAAGTGGGGTTTTTAAAAAAAAAAAAAAAAAAAAACTGGAAATTGGTATTCTCATAAGGGGAGTTCTAATAAACTGAATGGGGCTAAAATCCATAAGTTCTTGAAGTTTTAAAATCATTTATTGACCAACAGGGTTTTGTACTTAGAATGAGATTATCTCTGTTTAGTAAGCCATGTTACGTTTTTGCAATATTGGGCTATAGAACTGACCCAAACTCACCCAATCCAGGCCATAATATATTCACATTCCTCTGCAACATCACTTGGACCACCAAATGGTGCTACCGGTCCGTCTAATAACATTTTCGGAGCAGCCCAAAGCTTCGATCTAAAAGTACAAGAGCTAAATTATTTATTTATTTATTTTATGGCACAAATACATATTTACAAAACAATTCTAATTCCATATTAAAAACATTTGTTATGGTACAAATACTGAATGGAGTCACGGCGGTCTCGGAGAGAGTTAGAGATTAGTGGTTGAGAAAATTAGGAAATTCGGGATTTAGGGTTTCTCGAATTGAAATTCGATTTATTTTACATTTTGATATGATTTAGAAGGAAGAACAGTAAATTTCATATGCTCTTAATAATTTCAAAATTTGCCATATCTGTGTCAAGTTCGGGTAAGCTTGTGAGTCAAGTATTGGAAATCAAACTCAAATTGATTCAGCGTTTTGTGAGCGACTTAGATTGTTTGACGCGCCTATGTGAATTTTGTTAATATATATAGAGTGATACTAACCTTATTCACTTTTGTTGAATACAATAGAAAAATGAATAAAATTAATATTTTAACAAAGATGATTAAGAGAAGTGGATAAGAAGAGTGAGTAAGGTTATATATATTACTTAGCATAAAATAATAATTATATTGGAAAACAAATTTAAGAATGATAAGTCCTAGAAGAAAACAAACTTATCCTCTTAATCAAATGTTAATAACATAATTATAATCTAATCACAGCAAGAATAATTTTTGTTATATCCTTTCGCTCTCTCCGTTCTTTCAACGCTTGAACAACAGTAAACTCCGAATCATGGCCCAAACGACTTCGTTTCTGCTACTCTTCCTCACTTCACTCACACTCACCGTCGCAGCAAACACCGCCTATCCGACAATCCCCGGCGCTGACAACAGTGATTGCGCTGTATCCGGGGAACTAAAGCCGGTCCGAAGAGAGATTTACGGTGAAGGCCAAATCTATGACATCAGCCACCGTTATACGGAAGACATGCCATCCTGGGACAAGACGGAGGGGCTCGGGCAGTTCTTATGGCTGCCTGCTAGCATTAAGAACGGCTCTCTCGCTAACAACTCGGAGATGAAGCTTCCGACGCACACTGGAACTCACGTGGATGCGCCTGGTCACGTGTTCGATCATTATTTTGATGCCGGCTTCGACGTTGATACTCTTGATTTGCACGTATTAAACGGTGATTAATTAGTTGTTGGTTGAACACTGTGTTTTGTGATTTTAGTTTTTGATTACTATGCGTTTGATAAGAGTACTATGTGCAGGGCCTGCGCTCTTAGTTGACGTGCCAAGAGATAAGAACATAACGGGTAGGTAGTATTTTTGCTTCTTTCTGCATTTTTAAAAACAAAGTTTGGTTTGCTTCTCGTGTTGAAGGCTTTTTTTGAGCTATTGAAATGATGCTTGGTTAGTTTCAGTGACAAAGTTCAAATAAGTTTCCTTTTAATACGACAATAATTTGTGTGCTTATGTGCCTAAATTATGCATATTCACCCTGTTGCAGAACATATTTTTAAGCTGTTTAAAAATCACACAAACCCTCTGTCCAAACTAACTTATGCAACCAATGTGACATGGTGTGATTAGAGCAGTATAATTTGAAAATAAATGAATTAAATTAAGTAGATGATCTGGTAACAATGCATTAGTGCTCTATGAGTTTGCGTAGACACTTTGTATGTGTAACAGTACTCTTTGATAAATGATAAGAGTATTTCGTGTTCTATTCTTCTTTGATTCTTGCTAGTCTGTTATGAACAAATCCATTTTTGACAGCTGTAGTAATGGAGTCTTTACATATTCCGAGGGGAGTACGCCGTGTGCTTTTTAGAACGTTAAATACAGACAGGTAAATTTTTTATCAATTATATTTCCATTTATTTTGGACCATGTTAATTTTTAGTTATTGAGNTGAGGCGTTAATACACGTGTTTAAATTTGATCCTCTATTGTATTATCTAATTAATACTCTAGATTTACTTTTTCCACTGACTAGGATTGGGAATTTATGTGGTATGTACCATGTTTTAAAAACCCAGCCTAGCCCGACCGATTCAACCCAAGACCCAACGTCGGAGCCTTCATTGAGTCGGGTTACAATTTTTCTTATTAATTAAAAACCCTAAAAATTAGGATATCAATCTATAAACAATTGAATGTTGGAATGTTAGAGCTTTTGAAAAAGAATGGTTGGTGAGTGCAAGGGTGGTGACGGCGATGATTTCTGATGAGTGAATTAATCGAAAATTACAAAATTATGTCGTCGGAAAAAGCCCGTTGTTGTCGGCGATTGGGGTGGTGAACGGGGGAGGGGTGACATGGGTTTTGTCAGAAGACTGAAGGGAGTGTTGTCGTTGCTGGGAAACAGGCCCTATTTGCTGATGCCGATGATGGTGTTTGGGGTGTTTTTACAAGACTTTAAACTTATAGAAACTTATATTAATTTTTCAACAAAGCTACGGACACCGAAAAATTTGCACCAAAAATATGTACCGGCCTACGTGTACCAGACGCCTGATTTTTCTATCAATTTTTTTCTAGTGAATGGCCGTCCATTAAATATAGACGGCCGTTCACTCACATGAACTCCCGTCCATATTATATGGACGGCCGTTCATATTATATGGACGGCTGTTCACTCACATGAACTCCCGTCCATATTATATGGACGGGGGTCCATATACCAAGGGAGGGCGTCCCCATTTAAAGGACGTCCGTCCATAAATAAAATATAATAAAAAAATTTGTAAAATATTAGGGACGGTCGTCCATTACTTTTGAACGGGCACCCACAAATAATGGACGCCCATCCTTGACCCAAATATGAAAAAAAAATACAATTTTTTTTTTTAAATTGAAAAACATTTAGGGATGGCCGTTCCTTCATTTTGGACGGACGTCCGTAAGGAGTGGACGCCCGTCCATAATGTAAATATAAAAAAAAAAAAACAATCGACGCCAGTCGATATCCATATCTATGGACTAGCATCCAGTTAATCTGTCCAAAAAGCACATACTCAAAGCTTTACATATACTGTCATGAAAAAAAAAATATTCATTGACTTGCCGGTTTCTTCTGGTTGTTTTGATGATCCTGCACTACCACTACATTCTTCCTCTTGAATAATATCTTCGTCTTGATTTATTCTAAGCATATCAGCGATCGAAACTCGGGTTTGACATGAATGATCCATTGAAACTGATCTTCTTAAGGGATGGATGGTCGTCCATAATGGATGGACGACCGTCCCTAATGTTTTGTAAATTTTTTTATTGTATTTTATTAATGGATGGACGTCCTTTAAATGGGGACGCCCGTCCCTGGTATGTAGACCCCGTCCACATAATATTGATGGGAGTCCATGTGAGTGAACGATCGTCCATATTTGATGGACGGCCGTTCACTAGAAAAAATTGATAGAAAAATCAGGCACCTAATACACGTAGGCCGGTACATATTTTCGATACAAATTTTTTGGTGTCTGTAGTTTTGTTGTTAATTTTTAGGGGTGTTTTCTTAGATTTCAAACTTTTGAATACCGGGTTGATCCACTGGTGAATCTAGGACCCGACCATTTTATCAGGTTTCACCCCGAGTTGGTTTTAAAAGTTGTATACTGTTAAAATGGTGAATAATAGGCTTGGAAAGCTATAACACTATAAGACAGAGGAAAAGTCATAAATCTGTACCGACACCTTCGTATTGAGACATTTCACACCACACGATAGCACCTGTTGCAGCCTATTTCTTTAATCTCTGAAATGTAATATCCTTTCACGTTTGTTTCATCAGACAAATCTCGTTAAATTATAAAAAAAAAAAAAAAAAAAATCGTCTACATATGTAGCATCATGCTTTCATCATACCCCCATGAAAAAATATCAAAACAGTAACAAGGCAAAATATGCATATAAAACACAAAGAAAACGACACACATTTTACACAAACATTTCAAAGAAACTGTTCACACTCTACTTAATAATTTATAGACTACTCATGTTCTTGAGAAATGAGAAGAGTTTGAATACGTTTTTCCATGTGAGCTTCTTCGCTTTCACTCGTCTTGAGTTGAATCTGAAAACTGTTTTCCTTTTTTTCAAACTATTATTTAATATCAGAAGTGTTACTGTCAACATCTTCTTTTTATGATCTCCACCTTCACCCAAAATGCAACAAAACTTTCCCTTTAACTTCAAGATGAAGGGATCATATCATCAAACAACTAATCTAATTTAATTGTAATTATACAACTTTCTATATCTCATTTACTTATAATAAATCTTTTCAATACAAATTATTTTTTTCTTTTTCCTAAAACAAAAGTCATAGTATTCACTGAGATTCTGACTCTAAGACCTCGGTTTTCCACCATAAGCTTGTTTACAAACAGAGTAAGATTTCTGAGAAGGATTACACAGCTGAGAAGAACCTGGACATCCGTGGAGACAATTATCCCCCAAGCTACCGGAAACCTCCACGTCACCGGAGAAGAACCCCGTTGGTGGTTTTCCGATCAAGAAATTCCCATCCAGGAACAATCTCCTCAACGACTTCTTTTGACTGTATTGCATTGGGATGGTGCCACGTAAGCGGTTGTATCGCATTGTCAGAGACGATAAAAGCGGATAATCAGCCAAATTTTCGGGCAAGTACCCTTCGATTTTGTTGAACCCGAGATCAACTGCCACTAAGTCGCTGCTACCATTCAAAGGCTTCGCGATCTCCACACCTGTCAACTTGTTATTCGCCAAGTTCACCTGTTGAACTGACGGTAGAAGAAAGAACCAAGCTTTAAGTGTCCCGGTGAATGAGTTTTCACTGAGTTCAACTACTTCTAGCTGAGACAAACCGTCAAAGGGTGTTTTTGAGATAACCCCAGATAAAGAATTGTTCTTCAGAGCAAGTTCTAGTAGATTGTAAGGTAGTTTTGGTAATGAACCGGTGAGTTTGTTGTAACTCAGATCAAGTCTTCTCAAACTTGATATTAAATATGAACCTTTAGGGAGATACCCAGATAGAGAATTGTGTGAAACATCTAAAGCGTCAAGCTTTTTGAGCTTGGTTATGGAGTCAGGGACGGAACCGGAGAAGGAGTTGGATCGGAGAGTCAAGGTTTGAAGATTGGAAAGAGAGGAGATTGAAGCTGGAATAGGACCGAAGAAATTGTTATCAGCGAGGTCGAGAATAAGGAGTTGAGTGAGTTGAGAAATGAGAGGGGTGAGTTGGCCGGAGTAGCCGGTGGGATCAACAGTGAGTTGGGTGACACGAGTGGAGTCGGAAGAGCAGGTAAGGCCGCAAATGAAGTGGGTGCGACGGGGGAGAGCACATGGGTCGGTGGAGAAGTCCCAGGAGGCTAAGCAGGACCACGGCGGTATTGAAGTCGGCTTGATGGCGGCCTTGAAAGCTTTGAGAGCTGAGATGTCTTGTGAGGAAGTGATGGCTTGAGATGAAAAGAATTGCAGAAGAAGAAGGGAGAGAGAGATTAAGATGGAAGAAGTTTGCATTTTGATTTGATTTTTTTAAAGTTTTGGTAGGTTTGGAGAGTTTAGTTTGGATTTTAATGGGTTTTTTGTTTTGTGTAGACTGTAGAGAGAAGGTGTGAAATCAGAAATGGGACTTTGACTTGGGTTTGGGTTTGGGGATTTTATACATTTATTCAATGCGAACGACTTACGCATACCCAAGATTTATCAAAATAATAAGTTGATATCTAAAAGATTTTGAAACAACAAATAGATATCTTTCATCATGTTTTGTTAGTGATTTTCGTTTGATAATAGTGAAAAGACTAAAATACCCTTAAAAGTTTAATATTTTAGTTTTTTATAAATTTAAAAATTTCTAAAAATCTCCTAGGTTTGCTAATTTGACTAAATACCCCAATATATAAAATTTTTATGAAATAATAAAAACACACCCGCCACCTGCAGTGCCAGATCCCAGCAACCACTGTCGGAATCTGGTTGGAAAATTGGATTATGACATAGACCCATCGGATCTATGTCGTAACATGTAGATCTGTCATTTTCCGGCAAGATTCGTGGCTGATCTGGCCGAAAAATGCCAGATCTACGGCCAGATCTGGCCAAAAAATTACGTTACGACACAGGCCCGTCAGATCTGTGTCATAACACGTTGATCTGGCATTTTCCGGTCAGATCCGTGGAGGATCTGGCCGGAAAAGGCCAGATTACGGCCAGATCTGGTCGTCGAGGCCGAAAAAGGCCAGATCGACGCGTTACGACACAGATCCGATGGGTCTATGTCGTAACACAATTTTTTGGCCAGATTCCGGCGATGGTGGCCGAAATTTGGCACTGTCGGTGGCGGGGGTGTTTTTGTTATTTTATAAAAATTTTATATATTGGGGTATTTAGTCAAATTAGCAAACCTAGGGGGTTTTTTAGAAATTTTTAAATTTATAAAAAGCTAAAATATTAAACTTTCAAGGGTATTTTAGTCTTTTCACTATTATCAAACGAAAATCATTAACCGAACATGATAGAAGGTACCTATTTATCGTTTCAAAATCTTTTAGGTACCAACTTATCGTTTCGGTAAACCTTGGGTATGTGTAAGTCGTTCTGCCTTTATTTAATAATGTTTTTGGGTATTTAAAAAGTTAGGGTTTGGTTGATCTATTCGTCTATGTACGTTATATATAAATAAGATATTTATTTAAGGGATGTCCTAATGCATGTCTCTTCATTTTGGTTGGTTGAATTAATGTCACCATATAAGTTTAGCCTAATGCATTGTTTTGGTCACGGATCTTTTATAGTTTTATTTTTCTTACTATTATTTTTTATTCAACATAATTAATCAAGTATTTTCTAAATATTAGAAAATATATTATAGATATTAAAGGGTATCAAATACAATACTAGGGAAGCTATAAATTATTTAATTAAGAGTATTGGAGTTTATGTATTGATGGATTTGGTATAACAAGAGCATAACATAAACATAAACAACGCTCAAAATCATTCAATTTGTTTAAGTTGATTAATCTAATCTAAATACAATAATTTTGATGAATTTATTGTATTTATATGTTGAAAGGAATCTATTTGGTTTGATTGATAGGTTATGTTATTATTATAATTGTATAGCTAAATAAATTATCTAATTTAAAGCAATCTTAGTAAGATAATTGATATAATTATACCAACAGGCTATATATATATACATGGAATAATTCTATAAATAAGATAATGAAATATAAACTTAGTATCTCAAGGAGTTGGTCTAGCTGTTAATTGCTGCAAGCCACTTGCAAGTTCTTTCTTTTCCTTTGGTCAGTTGCCGTCTGCATTACCCTCTAACAGAGGAAGAGAAACAGTTACTTTCTGCAGTCTGCATTGAGGTCTTCACCTGTAAGTTTATTATTAACTGATTTAAATGTTTACTGAATCTAGATCATTGCAATAAGCGGTTTTAAGAAAAAGAGACTGAGAGAGTAATTTGAACTGGGATGATGTGAGATTAGCCGCTATTTTAAGACTTTTTCCAACATTGCTTGTTTTGGCCTTCCTTGTGGTTTGTTGGGTTAATTTTCTTAAAGCAAGCTGGAACTCTTCATATAGATACAAATCTTGTCTGCATTTGCATTTTAAGCTTTATCTCGGCAAATCAGAGGGTGGTAGGAAATTTCTTGTTATAAAAATAATAAACCAATGTAGCTGATTCATAGATCTCATCGAATATAGGGTTTACGTTAGATGAACTATTGAAGATGTAAAAATAAGCATCTTGACAGCTGTATTTGTCACATTTGAGTTTTAGTTGAACAATACTTGCGTAGAATTCAAAGCTTGTACCTTTTCAGGATGCTTCGGTCTCCTAACAACCTTCATCTATGTCCTAAATTAATGTATCTTATTGTTATAAAATAATACAATGCTCAACGTTGTCTCTTAGGGAACCAAAATATATATGAAAAATGATATTAGAAACCATTATTATAATTAAGATAAAGATCTTGCCAGCTTAGTCGATAGAATCTAGTTGAAGAATCTCACATAGTCTAAAGAACTGATATTTTTTAAAATGGGTTATATTCTAAATAATCAAATGGACCCATCAATTTATGATATTAATAAATAGGGAAAACTTGGCTCAAAAGGATTCTAAAGTTTCCATTTTTGGGATTAATAACCTGTGCATTGTTTAAGACACTCAATTCAATTATTCAGGTGTTGTCTATTTAAATTTGTTAATTGTGAGGGCGTATATTAAACTTATTAGAAATTATCTTTGGGTGACCGAGCGGTTCGATAAAGACTTTTGGGTGTATTACTCAGAGGTCAAAAGTTCGAGTCCCTCATTGATGATATGAGGGATAGTCATTGAAGTTCTTATCCGGCCGATAGTTTCAGGGTTTGAGGATTAGTTGAGGTTAGGTGGAAAAGCAACCGCACCCCGGCCAACCCAACCCAACCCAACCCACGGTGGGTTGCTTGCAAATGGCGGTCGGTCCTGACCCGCCCGACGACATTGGCGGTCGGGTTAGGCCCGCCAACATTAGAGAATTGGCTGGTCCAACCTGGACCGCCAACCCACCCGCCGAGTTAACCCGCTTTTGATTTTTTTTTTTTAAATTTTGTTTTGTTTTATTTTATTAAGTTTAATGTTTAATTAACTTTCAAATGAATAATTTATAATTTATAATGTAATTGTTTTTAGTTAATTGTTAATTTCTTTTCAAATATCAATAATTAATTAAATTAAATTTTTTGTTAACATTACAAATATTAATTCAATTTTAAACATTAAAATTGTAATATAAGAAAATTAAAATTTATTCATTTATTAAAAATAAAATAAGAAATTACAATAATTATTGTCTCGTTAAAAAAAACCTCACCAATAGAACCCAATAGACACACCTTTGTAAGGAAAAAGAGTGCAATAATTGACAATTAATTTACAAATTACAATTTACCAAACACAACTAATTTTGGGATTCACTAGGACCTCCCCACTCGTATCATCTGTATGTAACAAAATTGAAATGATTCTATTAAAGTACGTCGACACCTCGTATTGACCTTGATGCGCGACCGTTCCTAATCTCGAAGACATGTGAGGACTCATCATTTGTGATGTAGTTTAGTCCTTTTCATTAAAATTCTTTCACTTGCACTAATGTTTGTTCGGATGAAACGGTTGAGACAGAAAACCGAAACATCTAAGACAGTCTTGATAATCCGGAAAAAATATTTTTCTGGCTCTAAAATAGCTAAGAGATCAATGTTGGTTCCTGTTGTGGATTACTGGTAACATTTCAGGGTTTGCCAAATATTGTTGAAGCTCATTACTCTGCGACTGCAGGAGACAATACTTAGTAGTAGTAGTTGTTGTTGTTGGTGGAGCCTCTGAAGAGGAGGTTGTGCTTCGGATTCGGGTCCTCTTCGGCCTATTCAGTGCACCCCAAAAGTAGAAGTCTTCATTGTTTCTTCTTCTGATGCCCTTCCCGGATGTTTCGCCTCTTGCGGGTTCCCATACCTGTTTCATACTAGAAATATACTTCAAAAGTGTATTTTCTACTCCCTATTTGATTGGCATATCCTTCGGTTTGTAAATTTTCACATAAATTGTCAAACCCTTTTCTAAACTGTCTAATTTATTCTAGGATCAATAACACCTAAACAATAAAGAAATGAATGGTTTTCCAATATTTAAAAAAAAAAAAATCCATTGCCTTTATTGATGCATTTAAATTACATTGTCTTTGTTTTTTATAAATAACTTGGAAATTTTATATTGATGTATTACCAATGAACTAATAGGATAATACACACTAGAAAGTTGTAAAGTTGATTGGTAAAAGTTTTAAGAAAAATGAATATACTTTAGCTATTTCAATCATTTTCAACCAATAATGAGGACCTTATTATTGGCTATAAAATAACTATTAATTAGCATAAGATAAACTGAATCAGACATTAAATAAGTATTATTCCATCTAACAGACATGTCTATGCAAAATTCTAGGAGACATATTTGATTTTATACAAGCGTCTTGAAATTCAGCATTTCTTTTATTACTACTAGTAATCCACTAAACAATCTCTAATTCTATTAATATTTTCTTTAATTATTTTCATACCACTTTCACAATTAAATTAATAACATGGCATGCACAACTTGGTGAAAAAACTTCAAATTGTTATATAAAGGATAATTACTTTGAAAATAATCTATAGCTTTACTATTAACTTGCATTATTTGAATTTAAACTTATCCCTTAATAACACATCATAATCTCTAAAACTTCAATAATTTTATTATAAATTTGTTCACTACTTGATCAACACCATAATCTAATCCTAATAAAGACTATTTTATTTACATTCATTATCAAATAATGACTACTCACATAAATATAATTTTGTTTAGCTCTACCACTCCAAATAGCGCAGTTAGAGCCACACTAACATGACAAGTATGCATTTATTTTTTAATTCTAATTTCATTTTTTTAAACAATTTATTAAATCATTTCTAGTTGAAGTTTTAGAATAACTTTTAAATCTTGGAAAAAATGATTTTTGACAAATCTTTAAAATTTTATCTTCAGCCATATTAATAGTTGATCAGTTACAACAATATAT